ATTGACCGTCACGTTATAACGCCCTCACGACTGAAAGGGCGAGCATGTTTGGTGGGACGGGGATTCGTACCCGCGACCCTCAGATTGCGAGTTGAGCGCCCTAACCACCTGGCCATGCCGGGCCCACTGTTTTGTGATCTAATTAACAATGAGGTTTTGAAACTTGTTGTTTTAGATAGAACACTTGGAATTTAGTAAATCATTTTGCTATTATGATGTGTACTAGTTCGTGCAAGTTTGATCTGTCAGATGTCAAACTGCTTAAATTTATTGTAGCATAACAGTCATTCAAGTAGAAAGAAAGAACGTATTAAATACACAACAGTTTTAATAGTATCAAATTATGTTTTAGCTATCCAATTAAATAATGATAATCTATACTAGTTAAGAAAACCATGCAATTTTATTATCGAGATACATAACTGCCTATTATTACAAAAAAAAAAAAAGGTTTCTAATGAATTATTTTCCAGAACGAATATTTAGTAACTAAATTGTTTTCCTTCTCCTTTCCAAGTCTACTGAAGGCTTCATTTTAACAAATGCAGTCTAATATTTAAAGGAATGTCAGGAAAATATACTTATTAATTAGCTATACTCATTAGCGGGTTGATTTTTTAGTTGTGCTTTGTGTAGGTAAGCTTGCTCTGATCGAATGTTGATATTAAAAACATAGAAGTTTAATGCTGACTCTGTGATTTCTTCAGTTTTTATAAAGCACGATTCTGATCAGTACGATTTTCATTTTCAAGCTAATATCAATAAATATTTTCAAGTCGTTCTCGTAATATAACGGTTTATTTTTCTTTCTTTCTTTGTAGATTTAGTTATTCCATGATAAAATATTAATTCCCCGACCTTGCTAAATGTCCGATTGTTTTTATTTTTGTCTGGTCGTTCTTGGTGTATATTCAAGTTATGACCACGCTGTATATAACTGCAGTTAATCCTCAGTTCTATATATATCGATCGATACCTTATCATTTCGTGACACTTCCGAAGACAAATTACTCAAAATGACCAACAATACCATTATTATAGCTGACCAACACAACACTAACAACTTGCTGAGATACTTAATGGTTGATTAACACTTTTACCTTGATAGAAATCAAACGTTACTGTAAGAGTTAAATGATTTATATTCAACGAAAACAAAACTACAAGTGACACAGCATACCATTCTTAATGATTAAACTGAATCAGTCTTAACGTCACCAATGTTAAAAGTGTGCTCACTTGACCACGTCAATATCTCCAAATAAAAAACGTCACATGAAATAGAATTGCTTCCAGCGGCATCTTTACTGAACGGTTTGATATGGAATGGCCTGTACTTTAAACGTATATGAATAATTACTTCACGGAAACGAGATCATGCATTCTCTGAACTTCTGTTCTACAATACAATGAGTACAAATTCGTCATGATTGATTCTCTTTAAAAAAAAAAAACTCTTAGTAATTATATTTCCTGAAGAAAGCACTCTTGGTAATTATGATTCCTGGAGAAAGCACTCTTGGTAATTATGATTCCTGAAGAAAGCACTCTTGGTAATTATGATTCCTGGAGAAAGCACTCTTAGTAATTATGATTCCTGAAGAAAGCACTTTTGGTAATTATGATTTCTGAAGAAAGCACTTTTGGTAATTATGATTTCCGAAGAAAGCACTCTTGGTAGTTATGATTCATGAAGAAAACGCTCTTGGTAATTATGATTCCTGAAGAAAGCACTCTTGGTAATTATGATTCCTGAAGAAGGCACTCTTGGTAATTATGATTTCTGAAGAAGGCACTCTTGGTAATTATGATTCCTGAAGAACACTCTTGGTAATTATGCTTCCTGAAGAAAGAAAGCACTCTTGGTAATTATAATTTCTGAAGAAGGCACTCTTGGTAATTATGATTCTTGAAGAAAGCACTTTTAATAACTGTGATTCACAAAATAAGCACTCTCATATGTATTCACTCTTAGTACATTTTCTCAATAATTTATACTGAAACCAAATCATGGATATTTCAAACGACATCTTAAACAATTGGTGTGCGTGAGGCTTAATCATTAGGTAAGTCGGATGCTGGGAAACAGCTACATTTTAACACGATAGACCAATTAATGGCTGGAGACGGCTTAAATGGGTAATGAAGAAAAACTTTAATATAACTCACGTCAGAAAAATAAAACTCTAGTAATGGTACAAAAAACGGAGAGAGAGAGAAACTAAGAATTCGTCACTACGTGGCTTCATATGTATACGGTATTACTGTGGCAAAACTAACAGTACTTGTCGTTATATATATGTACATACAATACATACATACATATATATATATATATATATATATATATATACTAGATGTACTTCCGCAGGGTCCACTGAGGTGTTCTCTTTGAAGAGTAAATAACATAAAATTTAAAAGTAACAAATATTTTTAGTTCTTGCTTTTGGAGGGCATATGTCATGCTGTGTTTTAGCCTAGAAAGTGCATAATTCTTCTTCAGAATAGTTCTTGCTTTTGGAGAGTGCATAATTCTTCTCGTGATTCAGGGATGCGCAAGTTTTATTGACGTCACGACAGTGCAAATTGCAACGTTAAGCGCCACTTACGTGACGTCATTTTAGTGTCTATTAACCGACAGACAACACATTACTGTATATTTGTACGAGTGGTTAAAACAGATGACACCTCCAGGCGGCCTTCGGTCCCCTTTCGGTGAAATAACTATTTTAAGAACAGTGCAATAGAAAAAGATACAACTTCTTTATTGATAAATTACATTATTATGTTTTCAGTTATCTCTGACCTCGTGCTGATGTTACAAACAACTCTTCCGACAAAACCTTTCAGTTATTAAGTACCAGTTGGCGTACCCGTTCAACGCACGGGGATGAAGAAAGAGAGCCAGATCTGAACATCGAACTCCATATCACTATCCAGGTGACTTTAAGGGTACACGACAGACTTAATGATAATCGGTCCAGTTATTCGCCAGTAGTAATCGGACACACACATACAGACACATTTTTGTCAAATGATGGTTTAGAAGTTCTTATGCAGTAGACTCGTATGTTAAGATCCGTTTACCAACGAAGTATTCAATGTACATCTAAACTATGATGTTTTTACTGTTTCTCGAAACACAAACACAAAAAGTGACACACGTATATGTACATAACCAGCTTTATCACACCAACGAAGTATTCAATGTATATCCAAACTATGATGTTTTTACTGTTTCTCTAAACACAAACACACATGTCTATATATTAACCAGCTTTATCACACTAACGAAGTATTCAATGTACATCCAAACTCGGATGTTTTTACTGTTTCTCGAAACACAAACACACATGTCTATATATTAACCAGCTTTATCACTACTATATGACTAGAAACCTAGTTCGCCATTTTTAACGAGAGCACCTAACCATGTTTCCGAATCATCGTTATTTCTATTGAAGAAGCCTAATTCACTATTTCTAACACAAGCATATTAGCCATATTTCTCAAATCTCATTCCTTGTTTCTAACGAGGCACGAAAGTGACCTAATTGTTAACGTTTCTAGCTATGGATCGAAAGTCGAGTGTTCGATTCCGTGAACACGCTCCGCAATTTCAGTTCTGGGTGCGTCATAAAAGTGACAGTGAAATCGCCTGTTCGGTTCAGAGTAACCGCGTAAACGACTGGTGCTGCTGACTGTTTGTTCACCCCCTCCCTCACACACACACACCCTAGACAGTAAATGCCTGAGCCTTGGGTTCTTTGGTCTGATCATATAACCCATGTGCCTCATAACGTACGTACAGGTTGAAAAGGGCAAATATTTTTAAAGAACTCACCCAATTCCATCTGATCTAAAGCTCACTTTATTATTTAGAAAGAGAACACGAAAATCCATGCAGAGCACGAGCATAAAACTCCATGTGGCCTGAGACTTGACTCTTTTTATTTATAACAAGAGTTGGCAACTCCACGCTGTCTGAAACCTAATTCGTTAGTTCTAACTTGAAAAGATTAACTCCACAAAGTCCGAACCCTTCATTTCTCACAAAACCATACAATTTCACGGGATCTGGGGCTTAATTATTTACTTTTAACAGGGTCTTATTACTTTATGTTGACTCAGCACTAACTCTTAATTTCTAACAACGGCATTTAACTTCACGTGGTCTAAAGCTTACAATTTTTTTATTCCTAAGAGAATTTAGAAACATTTTCTTTTCCCTAGCGTAGCTCTTAAGTAATTTCTGGAATAAAAACAACTACTACTTCGGCACATTCGATCAACAGCCTTAATCTTACAAGCCTTGTTTAAACCATATACTACAAGGTTTTCTTAACTTGTCATCCAGTGGGTCGGCAGGAAGCTTACAGATTTACTATGCTAAAATCTGGGGCTGGATTGCTCGCGGTGAACAACGTGGAGTTAGCCCATCGTATGTAGCTTTGCGCTAAAACAAATTAAAGCTTTTTTGTCTTTTATGTGACAAAGATCTGTACAGGATAACGTTAGATGATTCAAAGCCAATTTCTACGTAGCTTCGAAAGATATATATATATTTATTGGTTGGGCATTACTATTAATATCTACGAGAATTATAGCGATGATTAGCAAAGAATACTGTGATTTTGTCCTTGAATTTATTCTCACGAATAATACAAATTCATAACAGTGGTTTGTTTCCTCTAACACTTCACTGTTTTCATAAAAATTTACAAGCATATACTAACCAATATGAATAAAACCTGGGAAGGGACATGTCCTAGTAATTAATGTGTCGGGCTGCGTAATCGAAGATTCGAGGTTCGAGCCATGACACCATGTGGGCACATAATAAAAGTGACAGTTAATCTTCTTAATCGGTTAAGGTAGCAGGACAAAGACCTTGTGACGACGACTTCTTCTGATTGGCTGCATTCCTTGTGGTCAGTAGTTCAAAATCAGAGGCGGCTATACCTAACTCTTATGTGTCTCTGCCTTGGCAGTTTAGCTTATGTGCGTACAAGGTGCTATTCAGGTAAAAAATATCAATAGCAATAAAAAAACAAGCAATCGGTTAAGGAAAAAAGAAAGAAGGGGCAATAGAAAACTTTGATGATACAGTGGTTCAAGTACAACTAGCAGACTATAACGAGAGACCATATAACAATATCGTTCACATACAGATGGCATGCCGTCTCCTGAACAATAGTTATTCGTATGCTGACGAGAATTTACCCAAACATAATGGTCATTCTTATTAATATTAGTGTCAGCATGTAGCAATTCATATTGGTTTATCGTGTAAATATTTAAAATAAATTCCACGTTTACAAACTTATCTTAGTAAGAACAGTTAAAGACAACTTTCTTTCCCTCTCTAATTCTGGTCCACAAATTATGTTATTTCCAGGTTACGTAACTAATAATTTTGTGTTGAGTTCGTATATTTTCCAGCTTTCGCGTATAACTTGAAGCCAAAAAAAGGGGGAGCCACTGATCATCTCACACATTATAACTCAAATGTTTCCTTAATTACATGATTAGGCACTTAACATGAGATTCACTTCGCTCTTCCTAAGCATATATATGAAATAGTTTTTGGGCAGAAGAAGTTTTAGATAAATGACACCTGTCAAAAAACAAAAAACTCCAATATGCTTACACTACAATTTTGTGAACTTGGCCCTGCATCATTAGCTAATTATTTCATCTTTTGGTGGCATTTTTATCAATTAGTTACACTTAAATGAAGTGTGTTCATTGATTTTTCAATATGTTATTTATATATTTTATTATGAATACTTATCAAATGACAGTAAAAAAATTGATAATAGGCGATTTTAATGTATAAATTAATTTCTAAATAGGTTTTTAGAGCTCATCAAGAAATTACTGTTTCCATTACTTTGTTATTCAACAAAATGAATATTAAATCGCCTTCAAAAGATATTTAATACTCTTGAAATTTATAACATACGATGACGATGAAAGTTGTGAAGATGATTTTAACAGGTAATAGTTGTTTTAAAATGACAAAATTTAGAATCGAAAACTACCTTTTTTTCAAACACGATGAAATCTTAAAACGCCAATTTACACTATATTAAAGTATTCAAAAAATTATATTTTTTAAGATAAGGCATATTGCCGTAGGAAGCATTTTTTGAAGTGGTCAGGCCATTGCCACAGTTAAACAATGTGACACACGATGTGTGCAAAGCACACTACCGGCATGCAAAGCATACCATTTCTAGGGGAGGAGAGATCTGGGGGCATGCTCCGCCCGAAATGTTTTGAAAATTTAATGCTATGAGATTGAATCTTGAGACATTTTAACTACAAATACAACGTAATGTATTGAATTAAAAGAAGTTTTAATACATAAGTTGCAGCTACACATGCTATGAAAAAAGTGGTCAGGCCGTGGCCTGACTGGTCTTACAGCTTCCTACGGCCCTGAAGCATTAATCAAAATTTAAAAATACTTCACTGAAACCAGACGACGAAAACTTACCATCAACGATTGCAATTAGCCGAATGCGTCGATGAGTCACCCGGCATCCGTTTGTTGCTATGCCAACAGTCTGGAAAGGTCGTTCAACAAAAACGACAGTATATGTGGTCACTTCTGACACGTCGTTGGCTGCTACAACAGTGACATTGTATTGGTTAGCTTCATCAAGACGGCGTTTTAATAGAAAGGTTTTTTTGTGGTCGGCGATCATTTCAGTAGAGATTTTCAGTTCTGGAATCTTCAGACTGACTCTCATGTTTGAGCCCTGTAACAAAGTGGCTCGAAACTCAAGAACGTCCCCTGCAGTGATGGGCGAATTGGTAATTATGTGGAGTCCACTGACCTCTTCTTGAACTTCCACTGGTGAGGTCAAACTAGCTCGTTCCTCACTAACTAGGTTCTTTGCTAGAACAGACACCAAAAACAAACCTGCTACTGGGAAAGTTACGACGACCGTACAGTTTGTGAGATCGGACTGGACAGATTGCAAACAAGAAGTACAGTTCAATCCCAGATCCCACGAACAAGAGACATCACTTCCGGTGCGATAAGTGGCTTTAAAACAGATAGTATAACCAGAGCGGACAATGTGCGTCTCTACTGGAGTCAGGGTAACGCCAGACACTTTATCTTGTACGGTGAAACTAAACGAATCACTAATAGAGTTTATAGGACCTAGCACAGTGGCGTAAACACGATACTGACCAGGATACCTGAAATGGAACTCCCAAGACAACATGTTTTGACCTTTTTTGATCTCTTCGGTAACTAAGTTGTTTGTCTGATTAAACAATCGCCATCGGACATGCCTGCGAAAAATGGAGTCCTGTTCTCGAATGGTCTGAAAACGAAATTCCACAGTTGTGTCCGTTTCTACATGTTTTTCGGGTAATATCATTCTGCCCTCTAGTAGCTGATACACTCGAACAGCTTGTTTGATCTTAGCCATCTTTCTCAGATAACCATTATCGACAATAACCGAAGGATAAAATTCACCTTCTCGATGGTAAGAATGGCGGATAGTTAAATCAAGCTCACAACGTAAACCATAGTCTGCAACCACCATCACATTTTTTCTCCTGTGGTTTCTGTTCGTAGTCTGAGTGTCAGAAAGCTCTGCTTCTATTGTGTGGCCATCGTCAAAGTCCATTGAAAGTCGTGTTCCCAGACGATTGGTCGTTGTTACTGAAACCAGAAACTTCACAACTATTTTGGGTTGAAAAACCGATTTAGAGTCAGGATGGAGTGATACGGTAAGATTCCCCAACTTTTGGTCGACAGCAACCTGCGTAAGAAAAGGAATGCATTGAATTAGCTGACTAGAAAGTCTGACATTTGCACAACAAATGGCTGGCAATGGTCTACCAATAATCAAAATTAAGAGAATTTATAAATAAAATGATACAAGATAACATTCTTCCAATATTTGACAACATATGTTAAGCTGATGCTATGATTTTAACATAATAGAATAACCTATATCACACACATATACCCTACCAAAAGTCATGGGGTAAACCTCTGATTGCAGGAAAATTGGTGTGACGACGAAATATGCAAATAGTTTGGCCTATAAAGGTGATCAGCGGTTCGCTAGGAAGTCATTTCGAGCTTGTACGCCGAACGATGAACACGTGGAAACAGCTAACAGTTTCAGAGAGGGGAGGATAGTTGGATCTCATTTGAGGAAAATGTCTGTACGTCCTAATGCGCAACAACTAAACATTTCCAGGTCGTCAATTGACAACGTGCTAAAGAAATGAAAGTCCACATGTGACAATGAGCCCAAGAAACGACCAGGTAAGTGTAAAATACTGACTGACATGAGCCGAAGCGACTTGAGAAGGCTGGTTACCTCATTTAGCCGTCAGACCCTAGAGAATCTGTGTTTGTAGATGCGAGCAGCCACAGGCAAAAATCCTATAAGTGTTTTTACGACACGTCGAGAGTTGCATGCCATGAATTTTCACGGAAGAGCTGCAGCCCACAAGCAGTTGATAATAAAAACAAATGCTTACCGTCGATAACGATGGAGCAAGGCACACCGAACCTGGACCGTGGATCAATTGAAATCGGTCCCGTGGAGCGATGAGTCACACTACACGCTCTTCCAGTCTGATGGACGTGTTTGGGTATGGAGGATGCCTGGAGAACGCTTATTACCCCAGTGTGTTGTCCCAACAGTGAAGTTTGGAGGAGGCGATATCATGGCCTGGGGTGCTTATCGTGGTATGGACTAGATTCACTGGTCGCAGTGCATGAATCCATGAATACCGAGTCCTACATTGATGTTCTGAACAATTCTGTGTATCCTACATTGTGGCAATGTTATGGTATCGACCTTACACCTTCCATCATGATAACGCTCCATGTCACAAAACAAGGATTGTGAACGTGTGGTTTGAAGAGAATAACATCGGAACATTGCAGTGGCTAGCACAGAGCCCCGAACTGAAACGCAGAATTAGGGCAAGACCAAGACGGCCCTCTTCAGTAGTGGACCTTACTAATGCTTTAAAGGATGAGTGGAGCACAATACCACCAGCTTTCTACCAGAAGTTAGTAGACAGTCTTTCACGACGTATTGAAGTAGTCATTAAAGCCAAAGTAGAGCTAACACACTATTAATTTCTTTGAATAAAGACATGTTTTATTCATAAATACCCGTGTCCCATGACTTTTGGTAGGGCAGTGTATATTTAAAAACACATAAATCTATCACTGAATAAAATCAAACCATACACTAAAACGTAGTAACGTGTGTGAAGATCTTGAAAAAAGTCTGCGAAAATAATTATGATGGCTTTCTTTGTTTTGTTGAAGCAAAAAGCTACACAATGGTCTAATTCAACCGTGTCCTTAGCTAGTATCGAACCCTAAGTTTTAGCGTTACATGTCCACAGGCGTACTACTGAGCCACTGGAAGAGGGTCATTAAAACGCACTTTGTATATCTGTATGAGTGAAATTTTGTACTTTATGGGAAAGGCTATCTGTCGCCATCACTGGTTTCGAACAACTGACCACGTTTAGGAATTGAGTGTCGCTCTTATAACACATCCAAAGCTTAAAGCTTGCTGAATGTTTAGTGGTATATTGGTTCATATCTCTACCACAGAGCCAATCCACGCCCATGCATGAGTGAATACGCGTATTTTTGTTTCACGTAAACCACAGCCACTAGAAGACATGTTTTGTACATAAAAATAAGCCCAAACATTCATAACAACAGTAATATAATACAAAGGTTTAGGAACTGAATGATTATTTTCATTATACCAGTGCAAGCTCTACGCAAAAACCTCTAATTCATATAACTAAAAGTGATACTTTATGAGAGAGTAAACATTTCAGCCATTTTAAATGACACTTTATAGCCTTGCATCACTCCACATACCTCAAATCCTTATGATTTTTCGTTTTTATTTTAATTTTGTTTAATTAACCATATTTTAATTGAGTTAATTATACAATGAAATGAAAGAATGTTATCAGATCAAATAATGCATTTCATGAAATCACAGTTTTATCATGACATTTATATTTTTTCTCCATTTTTCATGACCTTTCCAGGTCTGAAAATTAACTTAAAATTTTCTCAGGTTTTCGCAGGATGCCTGCAAACACTGTAAACATTTAGAATCATACGATCTTTAGCAATACTTTAAATTTATTATACACATTCCAGATAGAACTTTTCATAAGATTTTTTCTTCAAACTCTGATGACCAACTAACCTTCAAAAAAGCCCAACTACTCGGAATCACCTATAACAGGTACACACTGCATGCAATACTATCAAACGTTGTACCAACTAGTGACCAACTAACCTTTCAAAAGTCTACCTACTGGAATCACCTTTAACAGTTACACACTACATGCAACACTCTCAGACGTTGCACCAACTAATGACCAACTAACCTTCCATAAGTCTACCTACTGGAATCACCCTTAACAGTTACACACTACATGCAATACTCTCAGACGTTGCACTAACTGTCATCAGAAGAGTTCCAGGTGGTGCAAAAACAAGCACATACATGCATATTTTTGTGAATCTTAGCAAAAAACTTTGGGACTAAAGTGTATTTTTAAAATGTCAGCATGATATTTGACACCATAATTTAAATCAAACACAGCTGATCGTTTATACGACATAGAAACACGTGCGTTCATCAACTAAATAAAAAATACTACGCAACTCTTCCTCGATTAAAGCACAGGGATGAAAGAACAATTTAAAGCTTTAGAAAAAATATCCAACACTTTTATAGTACAGAAGATGTTGTTTGTTTGTTAGACAATCGGTTAGAAAAATAAAGAGGGGCAATAGGAAATTTTGGCAATACGGTGTTTCAAGTACAACTAACAGACTTGGGTGAGACAGTTCGTATACTTTTCATTTCATTGTGTATTATTGTGCTTAATTGCAAACAAATCTGTGCTCTGCCCACCACGGGTATCGAAACCTGGTTTCTACCGTTGTAAGTCCGCAGACATACCGCTGTGCCACTGGAGGGCATACAGAAGGTTATTCTATTTTTAAGAATTCATAAAAGCAAAGTAAAAACTAGTCTAGGCACGACTCATCACTTACTATAACACAATGTTTTTCAAACTGTGCTCTGTGGAACCTCAGGGTTCCGCGAAGGGTAATCAGGGTTTTCCCATAAAGATAACGGGTAATGGTAGTTTTTTCAATTATTGGGTGTTAACACGTCAGGGCGGCCCGGCATGGCCAGGTGGTTAGGGCGCTCGACTCGTAATCTGAGGGTCGTGGGTTC